CAGTCATACCGAGCGCTTCAGCCAATCTGGCCAGCAGGAAGCCTCATGAACAAAACCCATCAGATGCCCCAGATCTCCCTGTGCCTCAATCAGCCCTGGGACTACGCACAGATGAGGGGTCATAGAACCCAATCTCACCTACCCTAAATGGGTCCTCCTGGTCCCAAAGAGCCAGCCACAAATCGCTGGTCAATTTACACTTAGGATCTTACCCACAAGATCACGCTGGGCCAATCCTTTAGAATCTATAATCTAAAGGTTTATTAATAAAAGGGAGAATAGGTTGAAAGTAAGGTTAAGGAAAATACATTTCATGCATCAATCACCAAGTTCTTGATGCAGGCTTTCAGCAGAGGTGTTATAAACTGCTAGCTTAAAAGTCTCTGGTGTACATCCTGTGTCAAGAGAGGTGAGCAATCCTCCTTGGCTATCTGTTCCCTGCAAGGCTGCATCTAGGATCAGTGGCAGAATTTAAGACAAGATGGAGTCTGCCCTCATGGCACTTGTATATCTCTCCCTGCTATCTTCCAAGTGAAGCAGGTCACATGGTCGAGTGACCTATCTCTTTCATCTGTCAGCAGTCATTCTGCCCTGGCTGGTTTGCATGTTCCCAGATGCATTCCTCAAGTGTGTACTGGCCACCTTGAGAGCCATTGTCCTTGGGGCTGTGCTAGTTACAATACTCATTCATTGGACATTCCTTCCTCACAACAGGCAGTCCATGCCCAATACCAGCATAGAGTCCATATGCATAACTCCGCATACAGACATATAAGTACATGAATAGCATACACAGAATCCGTAAAACATAGGCTTTCGTTTGACACCTCACGTGGCCCCCTTTGTACAGACGTTTGGGTAACCACCTCTCTGTGGGTGCAGCAGTGATCTGTCTGCTCCCCTTAAAATCCAATAATGTGACAGCCCTCCAGTGTAAATGGGTAGCAATTCTAAACATTTGATTTTCTGTTTAGAAACAATAGCCTGTAGGATTGTGCTATTTCTGGTAGAAATATATTATAGGAGCAGTTCCTGCTACAAGTAGCACAGTCTTGCAAGGAAGTAGCTCTCTAAAACCACCCACCAATGAGAGCAATGGGGGTATGAAACCTGATAAGTGTCCTTTCATGCCCAGACTCCTGCACTACAATTCCCCTCACTCACTCTCCTCCCCCTCACCAAGATCCTGCACCCCCAGCTTGCTCCTGCACCCTCCCTTGCTCTTGCTCCCTCCCCTCGGCCAGACATCCTACTCCCTGCCTGCTTCTGCACCCCACCTCCCACACAGACTTCACCCCTCTCCAGCACTTTATCTCCCACCCAGATCCTGCACCCCCATCATTATCCCACATGCTGGCAGCCATGTCCTGCACACTGAATCTCCCATTTTTGTCCCTACCCCAGAGCCTGAGGGGGTCCACAAAATCCACTAACTCTGGAACTGCAGAAAAGTAAATCTGGCCTATGAGAAGCCCTGAGCCTCTCCTATCTGTCCCTTCTCCTTGTCCCGGCGGGGCTGGAGCACCAGAGGAGTGAGGTGTCTCAGTTGAAGACCACATTAGTGAGGAGTCAGAGTTTCTGGAGGAGTTCTTTTGCTTCTCACTTGTGTGGTCCCCAACTGATTTTCTGTGGGTCGGTGACCCCCAACCCAAAATTCCTTCCCCACACTGGCCATAAATAAAGAAAACATGGGAATCGTTTTTGTTGGACATAAATTAATATTTTACTTTATTTAAAATGAAGTTTGATAATCTAACATGAGAACGTTAAAACGCTTAATCTGTTTAATAATTTCATGTAAAGCATTCTCTCTCACTGAAGAACTAGCAAAATGGCTCAGGCATAATTATGTAATTAATGCTGAGTTTCCATTAGCAAGTGGTGGTCCACGGAAAAGATTTGTATTGAGTCAGGTTGTCCACAGGCCAAAAAGTTTGAGAACCACTGTTCTAGTAGTATTCTTGTCTAAATCTTTACTTGTGGTTTGGGCTATTGAGAGGTTTAAGGAGCCAACATGCCATGTTTTCAAAGGAGTCATACTGTGCCTCTGCTTTTGAATGCAATTTTAATTCAGTGCCTTTAGAGTATTAAGAAAAAAATGATGATAAAAGTCATTTCTGAAGATATGGCCCTGGAAGTTTTTTACACTATTCTTAGGCATGGCAGAGTTGAAAATGTCAAATGCCTTTTCAAATTAAATAAGCTCTTTGCTTGTAATTGTGTCTTCAGGAAGATTTAGGTTTATATAGTACTAAAGCCATTTTGATTGTAAACAATTACAGATGAGAATTGGATAGTCACTAGTTCGTTATGAAATAGAGATTATCTGGTAAAATTTGATTCTAGCAAGCTTGTTCTTACTGGCTCTTTCTATCAAAAGTTCAAGTTTTATTTTCGTTAAAAATTCCAGCAGTGGAAGTCAATATTTTTCACACTATATTGGCCGTCACTCATCTACATTTGATCTAAAGACAATAGTATTATGCACTAGCAGACCAAAGTTCAAAAATTGATTGGAAAGATCAAAATGTGGATGATAGTGTAACTGAACCCATGAAATTCTGTGACCATCATATATGAATGAAAGTACCCAACAACCCAAATCATTTGTATGGATCTGGAAAAATACACAATTAAAAGTCCTTTTGCAGACAAAGGGATCTAGACAATGAAAATAATAAAATGCAATTCAGCATGAGGGAAATGTAAGCTAACATAGTTGATATATTATAAACTGAAATTTAGAGAGATAATAAGGAGACTCTTTAAGAGTAACAATAGTTTAAGGGTAACAATAGTTCATGGCAAATTGTTGAGCCCCTTTTGATAGGCATTGACAAGGAACAATATTGTTTTCTTTCACTATGGTTACAATTGTGACTGTTTGGAGTTTTCATTTTTGTTTTTCTCAGTTACTAGTTGGGCTATTCTTAGACTTTGGTCTGTTCTCAGTGCTCCTGTTCTTATTGCCAGGAAGATCATATACTGTTGGTGACTCAGTTAGGTATCACTCTTAGTTATCATTTTCCATCTTTCTTGATCTTCAGAAATAATCAGAGCTAATGTTCTAACATGTGATTGTGTCTAATGGCCCTTTTCATGGTTTGTTCTTGACACAAAGGACTGCTTTTTTTTTTTTTTTCAAAATAAAAATTCAGAATGTCAGTTTTAGCCAAATTGCATTGAGGCTGTTAGCTTCCTCTAGGACTCTCTCTGAAAACTGTTGCTCCTCTTGTCCTTCTGCTGGGTCTCTTGTTGATCAAATGTGCTGCTGCTGTGTTCTCTGGTAACAGTCTCTGATATTACTCTTCTATCCCTTCACTTGCAAGTAATCCTGAGAAACTATTAATATGTTTCCGTTAGGACAGGTAGCTTTTCTAAAATAATTATGCATCGGGAGTGCTGTCAGCTGGCCAGCCCACCAATCTTAATGACAGTGTAGTGAAATTCCCCATGGATGAGGATTAAAGTTTCAGTCCTGAGCTTTTTCAGGCTAACAAAGAATATGAGCAGTATTAAGGCAGCAATCTCATTATCTATAGGAAACTTCTTTCTGGTACTAGGTCTTGTGCCATCCTGCATGAAGGAGTCCTACAAGCTTTACTAGGAGATTTCAGTAATTATTTATTTGTATGAATATAGTGCCTAAGAGATGTAGCGATGTCAGTAGCTCATTTTGGGAGGATGGCTTGGAAAATGGATTGGCGATTAGGGGGTCTCTTCAATCAAGCTCCTTGGGTAGGAATGTTTTGGCCATCATGAGATAGGACAGACTCAATTGGGTTGCTCGTCACTGTGGGTCCATGTAGGTTTGAGTCCCATAATGCGTTTTGCAATGCAGGGAGATCACAGTAGGAGAGAAAACTTGTTGCATAGTAAGACAAAAGTCTCATTCCAGTGCCTTAACCACAAAACTGTCCTAAATGATTTTACAGTGTCACATCCCAGTGTTCAATGCACAGAACAAAATTATTTACCTGGCCTTTTAAACTGACAAAAAATAGTAATCATTGGTGACAGCTTTAGGCCCAAGCCAGCTCAACCGCTGCCTTATGGCATCTTTTCTAAGGGTTCTGCAGTAGCTCTGGGTATTTGGTGCTATGTTTTTATGCATCTGATTCCTCCTTTCAAGAGTGTCCTAGTTTTTAGCTGTATCCAGTCAGTTCTCCTGATAGAAGTCTTGTCCAAGAACTCTCTTTATATAAGTTGATGCAGGCAGCAACTGGGAGCACTAAAGCATTTGGAAACTAAAACACACAAATGGAAATGGTTCCCCACCTGTTAGGAGAGGAAATGGCACAAACCAAGGACCACATTGGGGAGTAATCCTGGAAAGAGGGTGATTTCTGTTTGTCTAGCATGCCAGTGTATGCAAGAGAAGCTATGGTCAGTATTATAAATTATCAGGAATGTTCATGAATCAGCTGTATAACATCATTATCAAACACCTCATCCAGTCATGTTTTGGAAACACTTGTTTTATCCAAAACACACACTGATTGATGTGCATAACTCTACTGGAAATCATAAGGCAGGACAAATATTTTCAGAGTGTAGCAATAGTACTCTCAGGCTATAAACAATTTTAGGTTATTTCTAATCCTCATATAATGCTCAAAACTGTGATTAGTTTTTGATTGATCACTGTTTCTCATCCTCCTTGTCATTATCCTATATTATTGGTTCTTTCCCCCTGACTTTTACAGGCATATACTCAAGGTTTGACTTGCAATGTAGGATATGTCAAAAGCAATTAGCAGGTGGATCTCATTTGTAGCCTTTTGCTCAAAGATTGTAAAATCTCAGTTAAGACTTTGAGTCTATTCTGGACTCTGTATAATAAAACTGGTATTTGTGAAAATGTTCTTATCTAGATTTTTTTCTTGATTTGCATTGAGAAATGGATTTGTCGTTAATACGATTATGTGCACACTGTTAAAGATGAGTAAAAGGTTATCATTCACCAGCTTTGTTCTTTGCACTCTTTTTCTTAAATGCAGCTTTAAAGTCCTCTCCTTCCAAGAGACGGTGTAGTTCTATTACAGCTCTAAAGGCAACATCACAAGAAATTGTGTCTGCTGTTAGCCAAGAATGGAAAGATGAAAGACATGACATGCTTACTGAAGGACAAAGCTATTGCAGCCTTGATGACGAAGGTAATTTATTAGACATGGTCTCAATGTCTTAATTCAATTTTATGGTCTTAGTCTAACCTGAGTATCTGTGCCACAGTTCAAAATAGAGAACTTCGATTATGCAGCTAACCAAGACATTACACACAAACATGTTCTTTATTTTTGAGGAGGCTTACAGAGGTGGAAGTGTGCCTGCATCCCTGACCAGATCTCATTAATTGTTAGATTTTGTCTAGAAAATTAGTACCATCACCTGTGTGCATGACTAGATTCTGCTGGGGAGGTTCTGCAATTATACCTTCTGACCACCAGGGAGTGTGGTGGCACCCAAAGAGAGGATACCTGGAGCAGCCAGCTGGGGAAAAGGGAAAGGCAGTGGCTGCCTTCCTCGCAGTGCCTTGCCTGCAGGGCAAGGTGAGGAGGCAAAGTGTGTGAAGTGATGGACAGAGGGGCGCATAGGGCTGCTGGGGATCACACAGACTAAGATTAAGAAGGGCTGGTGTGGGGGGGAGGGGAACAGTATTGAGCCAGGGGCTGAATGGGAATGGAGGTGCAAAAATGGATGGGGAAGGTGACAGGGAGGGACACATGGGAGCAGGGATAGATGTATGTGTCTGAACGGGAGAGGCTAGGGGTCAGCCAGGGTCTGCATGGGGAGTCTCCACAATTCCCTAACATTCCCCTCCGTCTCATGGGTGCAGGAAATATTTCTGTATTCTGTATTAATTTAAATGAATTCTTAAAGTTCTGTATTAATATGAGTAGAAAGTAGTCTATTTGTCAAAAAACATTTCCTGAATATTTTTTGCGGTCTATATTTAGACATTCTTGCTGACATTTATTTTGAAATAAATTACCAAAATAATTGAAATGGTTGTAATTGTTACCTTGACAAATAAAGTATGCAGAATTTAAAAAATATCGTGTGCACAGTTTTTAATTGTTTGAATCCTGTAAGTAACATAAACTTACCTAGCAGTAGTATTAGTTAGAAATAGTTTTAAAGATGAGTAGACAGTAAAACATATGTATTTTCTCCTATACAGTATTAGGCTCACGGCATCGTCCAGATTTAGTGCCAAGCACTCCATCTCTATTTGAAGCTGCTTCCTTAGCAACCACTATTTCTTCTTCTTCTTTGTATGCAGATGAACAATATCAACGTGATGGGACTCTGCTTTATTCCAGCAGGTAATGGTTTGTTTAATTTAAGATACAGAAAATGTGT